GCGGTTAACGTGATGTTCGGCCGAGGTCTTGACGGAGCGAGGTGCTGAGCGATGGAGCGATGATCCCGGCGGCGGCAGGCGGCGGCGGTGACGATCGGTGCTCGGTGCTGCAGGGTCTCCTCCGGGTCTTGTTCACGAGAGGTAAAATCCCACCTTCGTCGCCAGTGCAAAGTACTCGTAAACGGGGAGTGATTCAGCAAAGAGTACTTTATTAGTGAGGAACAAGACAAGGAACCCCGGCACGCAGGCCGGTATATATGCTCAGAAACCCACCACCAAAACACACCCCCTAGTGACCCTATAGGTTATTTACAGTGGCCGAGAGTCCCATTGGCTCTCGGCCGCGGACCTGGCCCTCTGGTTGGTGCGGGCTAGGATCCACTCCGCTATTGTTCTGCAGGAGCGAAGCTCTGGGCTTGTGCTAGACCTCATGGCCCAACGGTCGCGCACGTGGCAATGGCGGATACATTACAACTTTACAAGAGTCTTTTCCAGGTGAAAGACAAGGATCCCCCTGCAGGTACGAAAAAGAAATTGGCCAATGGTGGCAGCTCAGTGGGCTAGCTGCAAACACAAACTCAAGGACCACATCTCTCTCTCTCTCTCTCCGTATTATAGAAGGTCACATAGTGTTGTGGGCAATGTTCCCTCTAAGTTGTGGAGTCCTGTGAGCAAAAATTCTACTTTGTGAGCTACTGGCATTAAAGTTGTGAGCAGGTGATTTGGCTACTGCATAAATTAAGTTTGCACTGGAGTCATCCTTCCTGAGCTAAGACAAAAATGTGTGAGCCAGAGGCTAAAAAACTGTGAGCTTAGAGGGAACACTGGTTGGGGGTGTGTGGTTAGCAATGAGCAGCAAATACCATTCTAGTTAAGAAAATGGGCTCTGTTTGAAACGTAGCCTCCCCCCCCCCCCGCCATGTGATGCATTCAGTGTTACCTTAACTTTGGCATTTTCTTCACGCAACAAGAATTGTTCCGGGACTTTATTTGTTTGCTTTATTGGTTTCATTTGTACCCTGTCTTTTTCCACAATGGAGATCCAAAACAACTTCCATTGTTCCCCTTGCTATCTTTTTATCCTCACAACAACCTTGTGGGGTGGGTTAGAATGCATGACAGACCCAAGGTCACCCAGCCAGCTTTCATGACAGAGTAAGGATTTGCAGCTGGGTCTCTCAGATCTTAGTCCGAGTTTCTTGATAGTATGGCATGCTGGCTCTCACAAAATGTTGAAGGGAAGAGCAACTTTGACTTTGAGTCCGATCAGATGGCTCTTAAGATCCGCGCCTCATGGATTTACGTGTAATGTCCAGACATTAACATCTGGGAAAAGTCCGTCTTCCGTGAGCACCCCGTTTTGCTGCGCTTCGGTGCCGTACTAAAAAGGTACTAGTTAAAATCTGGAGTTTTCGTTTCCCGGTGGGCCAGTCACGGACTTTTCCCCGTCTGATCGTTCCAGTGAGCAATTAAAAAATGGCGCCCGTTCAAACCATCCCGAATGGGCGCCATTGTTTAAAAATCTTGATTCTGCGCATGCGTGGATAACCACGATATCATGCCTATGCGCATGCACAAACTTTTTTTTTAAAAGCCACCACATGCGTGCCTCATTCAGTGGATGCCGTCTAGACAATCCACAACGGAAGCAGCGCACAGTAAGGCGATTCCCCTGGGGGGTGTCTGGTCGTGCGAGGATGGATTAAAAAGACAGGGATCAAATTTGAGCTGGCATAATGGCGGGATTAGCTGCCCATCTGAATGTACCCTTTCATTCAATAAAGACCGACTTTTATTACTTTTTTAAAAAACTGGCATATTTGTATTGCTTTTAACACTGTCTGTCACGTACTGTTCATAGAGGTATCGCCTTAAGCAGGTTAGAACCAAAAATCATTTTTAAAGACCTTATTCAGTATTATTGCTTATATTTGATTACTGCACCTATGAATTTTTCCACTGAGAGGGTGACATGGTCATTTGTATCTGATAGTAGCCACGACACCTGAGCTCTCACATTTAGCAATTCCGTATTTTTAAGTAAGGTAAAGGTAAAGGTTCCCTTGCTCGAAAGCCAGTCGAATCCGACTCTAGGGTTGTGATGCTCATCTCCGTTTCAAAGCCGAAGAGCCAGCGCTGTCCGAAGACGTTTCCATGGTCATGTGGCCGGCATGACTAAACACCAAGGCGCACGGAACGCTGTTACCTTCCCACCGAAGTGGTACCTATTTATCTACTTGCAATTTCTTGCTTTCGAACTGCTAGGTTGGCAGGAGTTGGAACTAGAGATGGGAGCTCACTCCATCATGCGGCACCCGGGTCTCGAACTGCTGAACTACTGACCTTCCACAGCCTGCAGTTCAGAGTCTTAACCACTTGAGCCACCGCAGCTCCTTGTTTTTAAGTAAAGGGGTGACTAAATTAGCTCTGAAGACGTTGAATATAGGGCACCCCATGATCATATGTTCAATGGTTTCGAATTGCTTTTAACACTTAACACATATACCAAATGACCTGGATCTATTAGAGCATTTCTGTGACCAGAATGACTTCTGCACATGGAGTGCGACTTTCCCAACTCCCTTTTGCCCTGAATTTCGGTGTGTGTGTGTGTGTGTTAGGTCTGCAGGGGAGAGGAATGAGGTAAGATAGTCACATTCCACAGCTAGAAGTCATTCCATCTGTGGAAATGCTCCTGTGGACCCCAGCCAGTATGTCTAAAAACCGAAGAATACTCGTCTGACCCATCCTAATCCGCAGGTGTTTTCAAGAGCTAATGAGATACAGGAGGAAGTGAAGTGTCCCTCACAAGTCCTCGCAGATTCTCCATGGTGGAACTGGGCTCAGCCCAATGGCCAGCCCAACTGCACGACTTAGCCAGACTCTTCACAGGGAGAGGCTGCCTGGAGGGAAAGAGGGTAATCTGAACACAGGGGCAGATAAAGGTAGGTTGGCTGGGAGGTGGGAGGGACAGAAGGAGGTGGGAAAAGGCAAGAGGCTATGGGGCTTTCAGGTAAGAGAAAGGGGGAATAGTGGGGCCTCTGCATGTATACTCATATTTTCTATTTATATTCAGCTCCCTATGCCACTCATGCAAGTAGTTGGGAAATATCTTAACCAATAAAGAAAAAGCTTCTTCTTTTTTATTTAAGGCAAAGACCCCAGAAAGGATGGAGTTCCCCAATCCTACTGTGCCTTGTCCCTGGTGGGTGTAAGGCGCCTCCTGCAGGACATTTTGCAGCCTGGCAGCCTGTTGAGTTTTAAAGATTACATGAGAATACAGGGACACCTAGTGGTGATTGTATAACATTGTTTCTGTCTATCGTCATATTTGCTCCTGAGATAGAGGGACCTGCAATCAGACAATAAAGGCCAAAGTACCTAAGATGTTGGACATTAAATCCCCCACCAAGTAATTTAGTTGCAAAATTTGGCTGTGGGGCAAATACGGCTAGTGTTTGCAGCCCTTGGGAAGGGAGGGTAGCACTTTGCCCCTGTGCCGTTTCCCCAGTTGAAAGTGGGCCCCCATGGATTCTTTCAGCCCCATTTAGAAAACAAAATACCTTGTTTTGTCTGTCTCTTTTTCTTTACTGGGGTTTTTAAAAGCTGGGGAGGAGGGCATTTGCAATCACTTTGGTGGGCGCGCCCAAGTCTGGGATGATGCATTGCCCATGGTTGGCACACAGATGTTTCTTCAAGTTAGGCTCGAACCCTTTATCCCCAGGATGAACATCCTCCCATAGGACTTGCAGCTGTGCACCACACCCACAGGCACTGTGCTGGCCCCCGGAGATGGCTCTGCCTCCAGGAATGTAGGAGGCCTAGGACCTGAGCCACCAGCCCCCTCTCTGATTGCTGGGAAGGATTTTGTCCTTCCTGTATGCTCTGCCAGATCAGTTGTACATGTCACTTTCCTAAGCCATCTGGTGGAGCCGTGCCACTGCCAGGTGAAGACCAGCCCAGCTGACCCCTACAATTCCAAATGCGTAAAATTATTGAAGTACAAAGTCAGGAAAGAATAATAGAATCACAAACTTGGAAGGGGCCATACAGGCCATCTAGTCCAACCCCCTGTTCAATGCAGGAGCATCCCTGACAAAGCTCCCACGAGATCCAGTTTGGAGTAATGGTTAGGAGCACAGATTCTAATCCAGGAGAACCGGGTTTGATTCCCCACTCCTCTACTGCTGGTGTGACCTTGGGTCAGTTACAAATTGTTTCAGAGCTGTTGACTTACAAGCAGTTCTTGAACGAGCTCTCTCAGCCCCACCTACCTCACAGGGTGTCTGTTGTGGGGAGGGGAAGGGAAAGGAGTTTGTAAGCCGCTCTGAGACACCTTTGGGTAGTGAAGGGCAGGGTATAAATCCAATCTCCTCCTCCTCCCCTGGCTTTCTGCAAACTATGCAAAACTGAACAATTCAAAAGGGCTTCTCTGTGCAAGTAATTAGGCTAGCAGCTGTACAAAATGGTTCACAAAACTTACTTACTTGGGTTAATAAGTAGGACCTATGGTGTACAGCTTATTGTAAGCAGGATATCCTATTATGTCATTTCTGTCCTGCTTAATAGTTAATAGTTATGCTTCAGTTCTTTCTGGTGGCTTCCAGACTTAAAATCCTAAGACACTGGTTATTGAATGTCCCATTTTGTTGTCTGTACTGACTCACTATGTGTAATCAGCCTTGAGTCCCTGTGGAAAGGCAGACTATGAACAATGTAAATAATAGTGAACCACAAATGAATACAAATAGCATTTCGGTGCATATTGTTAACAGAGAAAGACTAGAGTCACACACCATCACTGCTATCACTGACACTTCTGGTCTAAAACTGAAGACTGACCCTGCTACAGTCTTTGGAGGGGGGGACATGTGTGTCTCCGACTCCTCTGCCCATCATATCATGGCAGTGTTGCTAATGCTGACAATGCACTGGTAAGTTTCTCAGCATGCTAACTAATAGAAGCTGTTTCTTCCCCCTCAGCTTACCAGAGGCTTTTTTTCTAGAGGCACCCTGGGGTTTGTCTAAGCTCTGAAGGGAGCCAGGGAAATACACCCTGCCTGGGAACCAAGCAGTCTCTCTGGTCCTAGTTGCTAGGTTTTGCAACGCGGTAGCTATCTGTGGGCTCACATTCATCATTG